GCGATTCAAACTACAAGGGTTCCCCTCTGATACGAACAGCTCCTTAAACAGGGATTCTAGTGCCCCCTATGATTCGGGTTTAGGGTTTAGGGTTTAAGGGTTTAGGGTTTTAGGAGAGGCAGGTCAACCCTGCACCCACAACCCCCACTGCCCCCATTGAGTCAAAACCCCTAAAGACTACACGGTTGAATTTGGAATTTCTAGGGCGTCTCCAGTCCTTTTTAGAGAGGTTGCAAAGATCTGGGCTTCCCAGTCTGGGCCCTTAATTTGGGTCCTTTGTTGTATAACCCTTATACACACTACACGATAATGACAATAACCAAAAGAATAATAGTAATAACATATTATTAAGGGCCCGCGCTTCGGACCCCTACAGAGAATACAGAGAAGGGTATACTTCCTTAGCCAACAGTTGAGCTTTAAGCTTTTGGGGTCTTCTCTTTTTCGTAGGAATAATAACGAGTTTAGGGTTTAGGGTTTAGGTTTTAGGGTATGTATGTATGCATGCATGCATGCATGCATGTATGTGTGTATGCATATACGTATGTATGCATGCATGTATGTATTAGTATGTATGTATAGATAGATAGATAAATAGTATGAGATAGATAGATTGATTGTTTGATGGCGCTGTAGGGTTGTGCAGGGTTTAGGGTAAGGCTTTAGCATCCGTCGTGAATGTCCAAAACCTGAACCCCTCCTGCCTGCAAACGAGCAAGACTAAGACAGGCCCCTTCGCGGATTTTTGCCGGGACGCCCAGACACCAATGTGTGGACGTCGGTTGGCCCGGTCGGGTTCAGGGTAGACTAGGATCCCTAAACCCTAAACAATTCTAAACCCTAAACCCTAAACCCACATAGGGATACGCAGAAGTTCTGGTTCCGTGCGGTTAAGCTGGATGAGTTGGGCTTTATGGCCTACAGCCTGTGAGTTCATGTCAACCCAAAAGCCCAAAACCCTAAAACCCTAAACCCTAAAACTCTACACCCTAAACACCCAGACCGAGCCCAAACCTTCACCAAGCCCTAGACTACTCACCCTGCAGCTAGTAGAGCCGAACCAACTGCCCGGCTTGTCCGAGAAAAAAACCGGGTCCACACCAAAGCAGTAGAATTGCCGTGTATGAGTCCTAAACCAGTACAAAAATGCCAGCACCCACAAACCCTACATAAGAGCTTGAACCCTCTAGTCCGTGGCGTAGACAGAGTGCCGATGCCGGGTTTCCTAATCCCAAGCAAGCACCCTAGGTTTAGGCGTTGGGCCTGCAGTCATCAATCAACATCTCGACCAGGTTGCGCACGCGGATTGCGCAAAGATCATTGGCAGGACCAGCGAAGCTTCTGTCACCATCGCCGCCCTCACACTTCAAGACTAAGGTATACACGCCCTACACCATTGAACCCTACCCTAACCCCTTACATCCTAAGCCCTCAGCAGGAAATATCCGCACCCTTGAAGACCTAGACTTTAAGCTCCTTGAGCATGGGTAGGCCTTTGCCTGCGAGAGCTTTTTACCCCCTGGTTCTTAGTAGGGAATGAGGCCTAAACCCGAAACCCTAAGCCTCCGAAGCTTTTTCCTGCAGGAAGGGCGAGACCCGCATGGAGATCGAGCGCTACAGCGATGTGGGATCTCCCCCCCAAGTCATCGCTCTGCTGTTTCTCAGGGATTTGGGTTTAGGTTTTACCAAAGGGTCCATATACAGCTTTTTTAAGCTAGTGCGTGGTTAGCCTCAGCACAAAAAGTTGGGAAACAGACCCCGAACCCGGAATCAGCGATAGGCTTGCAAGTAGGAAGTGGTTTCTGTTTGTTTTCTGGATTCTGGGACTCATAGTTCTTGCACTAAGCCTCCCAGGTGTATATGCTACCTCCATGGTGTGGCTGAAAAGCTTCCCAAGCCCTAAACCCTAAGCACTGTGCCTCGCAGGTATCGACCTGTTGTACTTGGCATAGCCCTAATCCCACATCCAGCCTGCAATTCTTCCCGCCCAGAAGTCGGGGTATAGGAGTCAAGGGTTTAGGGTTTCGGGCTTGAGGTTTGAGGTTTAGGATTTAAGGGTTTGGGGTTTGAGGTTTAGGGCTTTGGGGCTTAGGGTTTGGGCCGCGTCTTCTGATCAGGGGCGTGGTGTTAAGGGCTCGGGGGTCTTGAGTTCCAGGCTCGTTGAAGGTTGAGTTTATGGTGGCACTGGAACATGCGGAGTATATTATATATATATATATGTATGTACACATGTGTGGGAGGGTGGGTTGTTCGAAATTGCGGTTCTTTTTCTTGGGACGTCTTGCTTCGGAATTCCTGAGACCTAAACCCTCGGCCTTAAACACTTAAACTTGTAAGCCTAAACCCAAAACCCTACGGGAGTGTAAGCCCCAATCCCTGAACCCTAAACCCAGGGTGTGGGAATTCGAAGGCCCCCCCCCCTCCCCCCCTGTAAACCCTACCCTAATTGCCTCCGAAGCCCGAAGCCCCCACCTCCACCCACTCCAAGGGGTTAAGGGTTTGGGGTTTAGGGTTTAGGGTGGTCTAGGGTTTAGGGTCTGGGGTGGTCGGGTTGAGGGTTTAGGGTTTAGGGTTTCCGCTTGAAGGTTTAGGGTTTAGCCAGGTTTCTACCCTCAAAAGACAAGGGAGATGTACCTCGATCATTGGGTATGTTTGCCCGTTTTGTCAAGGAACTCTTAGGTCCTGAAAGGTTTCCATGGGAACACATCGGTAGGGTTTGGGGCTCAGGATTTGAGGCCTGCATTGGAGGTTCACGGGTAGTTAGCGCTGGCTGGGCACCTGAAGTTTTAGCTGGTTGACACCTTATTTAGGGCACATCCGGGTATATTTTACTTCTCTTACCCATGAACCTTCAAGTATGTCCAAGACCCTGAGAGCCTCGTGAAACCGTACCCGAAACCCACCACCTTCAGCCCAAAACCCCCAAAACCCAGAGCAGAGCTGATGATGGAACCATGCTTCGCCCTTGGTGGCTTCTTTCCCGCTCACGGCTTGGCAGCTCGCCGCTTCATGGGGTTTGGAGCTAGATCGCCTGCCCATCGTCTGACCAAACCCAGCAGGAACACCCCGTAACCTGCACCTGTCGGGCCTATGTTCTTTTTGCATCCCCAACATACGGGCCCGGTGCCTGTCATAATCTGGCCCTTGTTAAAGTCACCCTACTGACAGGTACCAGCTTCCTCGTATATCTCCAAGTATAGTACCCTCTCTGGGGTCAAAAGTCTGCGCACTCTCAGCCCTAAACCCAGGGCCCTAAGCCCTGAACCCTAAACCCTAAACCCTAAACCCTACTGGCTTCCGGGGTTAGGGTTTAGGGTTTAGGGTCGAAGGTTGATTTAGGGTTGAAAGTTGGCTAATCTGGGCTATCAAGGGGCAAGTAGGGAGGAGCAGTGTATATATTCCCTGCAACAAATCCACAAGATCCGTAATTCTACGTTCTCAAGGGCAGGGGAGAGGGCATCTATCAGTAAGTGAGTGAGTGCAGAGCCCATCTGGATACATAGTGATCCTAAGCCCTGAGCCCTAAGCCCTAAACCCTAAACCCTAAACCCAGGAAGAACCCTGAACCCTAAACCCTAAACCCAGAAGGAAGGAACCCGAAACCTTAAACCCTAAACCCTAAACCCCAAACCCCAAACCCCTAACCCCCTAAACCCTAAACCCCAAACCCCTAACCCCCTAAACCATAAAACCCTAAACCCCAAGCCCAGGGGGAGCGGCGCGGCCGCCAGCGCGGCGCTGGCGAAGCGGCTCCCGCCGGAATCCGGGAGGCCTGCTAGCCTCGCGGCAGGCAAGTAGAGATGTGGGGGGTTTCTGAAAATAGCCATAATAGCCCTAAACCCTAAACCCTAAACCCTAAACCCTAAACCCTAATCCTATACCCTTTTGGGGGGGTCAGTCCTTCGTAAGGATTATCATAGGGGGGGGGGAGCATCCCAAGGGTAGCGAATTTGGCGGGGTCCCTTGAACGGGATTCTGTTCCATTTTGGGGTATAAAGGGGGCACCCCTTTTTCGGTTTTGCCCATATAGGGCATATAGGGCATTGGGTATTGGGGTTGATCTCATTCCTGAAGCCTCCTAGTAGTGAGAGTTTCGGGTTTTCGGTGTAAGTGGTGTAAGGATGAATCGGTTTCCACAAAACCTAGAATAAAGACCCTGTAGATAAGTCACGGGTTCATATCAGTGGGAGACGGACAAAGCAAATGGCTACCCCGACACTAAGGATCTAAACCCTAAACCCCAAACCCTAAACCCTACATCTCAATCTGGGTACATGGGTCCTAACCCTGACTAAACCCCCTAAACCCTTGATACAGCAGATTCGACGGGTTTATCGGGCTTTGGGCTTGGAAACCTTTAAGGCTTCAGGGCCCTTTTGGGGTTTTGGTTTCTTTCGGGCCTTTCAGGGTTTAGGGTTTAGGGAAGGAGAATTGGTGGTAGGCTTTTCGATCATTGAGGTAGCTGCAGTTATATCTGGTGAGGGCTAAGACCTGCAGTAATTCCAAGTAACTACTTAGGAGCAACCCAAGGGCTTTAGGTGGCCTTTCATTGTGCAGGGCTTGGATTGTGGGGCTTGTGGTGCAGGGGCTTAGGGTTGAGGATTTATGGTCGTATAAGGTTGACGTGAATGTCGCTGAATGCATCTTGAGTTCCTCCTGCTACCCCTCCCCCCTCAAGAAGTTTGCACACAAGCAACGAAGCCTCAGTCGAAGGGGAGTGTGACCCCCATATTGCGGGGGTCTCCTGGATCTTGACTACCCACGAACCTCCAAGTAACCATTAGCCCATAGCCCATACCCTTTACAGGGTTCCATGGTTCATCATTTATGATTTCGGGTCTTGGGGGTTCGTAAACCTCTGTCCCTCAAGCCCTCTGGACCCTGAAGCTCTGCCATTTAAGCCCCTCACCCTGGGGTGAGACGAAGGTATGCCCCTAAACCCTTAACCCAAAACCCTTAAGGTATGCGACCCGATGATGGCCTGGAGTGCGACAGCCTCCATGGGCCCGAAGCAGCCGCTCGGTGGGCGAAGAGTGAGTGTAGGTTTAGGGTTCAGGGTTTAGGGTTTAGGGTTTAGGGTTTAAGGTTTAGGGTTCAGGGCTCAGGGCTTAAGGCTGAGGGCTTAGGGCTTATAGCTTAGGGCTTAGGGCTTAGGGCTTAGGGCTTAGGGCTTAGGGCTTAGGGCTTATAGCTTAGGGCTGAGGGCTTGGGGCTTAGGGCTTAGACGCTTTCAGCAAGAGAACCGCCCTATTCAGCACCTTCTCTTCTCGGTGGTTCCTGGGGTGAGGCCTTTGGAGGGTGTAGGATTAAGGGCTTAGGGGGTGGGAGCCGACAGACCCTGCAAACCCTAAACGCTCGCACGCCCGCAGAACCATCTGAGAACCCTAAACAACCTCGAAAACCTTGACAGAACACAGAACCCCCCCCCCCCCCCCCCGCAACCCTACAAACAACTTATCAACCCTTGAAGACTTTAGAAGAAGTCTAAAGCCTGATAAGAAAAGAAGCTCCAGAACCCCAAAACATCTTGTAAGCATGGGAAACACTTCAAAACCTGAAGAAGCCTAGGACGCCCAGAAACACCTGCCTCACTCGTGCTTGAGGTTAGCTCAGGGCCCTAACCCTTAAACCCCCTTAATCCCTGAACCTCTAAACCCCTAAAACCCCTAAAGCCTTAAACCTCTAAGCCTGAACCCCTTAAACCACCTGAAACCCACTAAAGCCCAAGCGAACTTTAGCGACCAGAGGCTGCTTGACGCCATCGACCGCGCCAGCCGCGCCGGGGTGGGCCTTGAATCCAACGCTTCGGGGCCCAATCGAGGAATCTGCTAATTTTAGGGCCCTAAACAACCCTAAATCCTAAACCCTGAACTCTGTTTTGGGATTTCAGGGCTTTAGGGTTTTAGGATTTTAGGCATTCAGGGCTTGAGGGCTTGAGGGTTTTGGAGTCCAGGGAGACCCTTGTAGTGGCAAGGACACGCACGGTTTCGCTTGTCAAGTTCGAAGCCCCTGAAAAACCCTCCGCTTGAAGGCCCATGGCTAGGTAAGAATAGGGTATAGTGTTTAGGGTTTCAAGTTTAGGGTTGAGGATTTAGGGTGTAGGGTTTAGGGTTTAGGGTCTACCTAGGGTAACCTTGTACCTTAAATAAGCAAGGACGACAAATTTCCCGATACTTAAGGTACCTTTAAACCCTAAGCCCGGGTCCTCTAACATCGAGAGTGCCGGATTCCCTAAACCCTAAACCCTAAACCTTAAACCCAAACCCTAAACCCTAAACCCTAAACCCTAAAACCCTAAACAGTGCAATTGCGGCTTCTTGCCACTTGCACCTGCAGCCCGAGTCGAAAGCTACCCGTGAACCGCCATCCCTAGACCTCTATAAAGCTCTACATGGGGGGGGGGGGGTTCCGAAAATTAGGGATTCCGAATATAGACCCCCAAATTGTAGGATCCCCTTATAATAAGGACCCCTAATTGCGGAAACCCTATATGTACAGGCATGTTGTGTATTTGTTGTTCTTTAGCCACAACCCAAGACTCCCCACTCCTAACCTGAGAATTGATCCCCAACCCTCTCAGCCCCCCCTGCCCCCCCTCCCCCTGGGTTTAGGGTTTAGGGTTTAGGGTTTAGGGTTTAGGGTTTAGGGAATCCATGAAGCCCTAAAAACCCTAAACCCTACAAGCACGAGGTCAGCGAAGTGAGCGCGGCACAGCGGACGCAGTGCCTTAGTCCCAACAGCCAGGGTCGGAGGTTTAGGCTTTTGGGAGCTTGGGGTTTAGCGTTGGGACCTATCTCCTCGCAGCTGTCGATTTCAGGGTTTAGGGTTTGGGGTGTAGGTTTTAAGGGGGCTTCATGGGCGGCAGCAGTAGGTCTATGAGCGGCTCGTGTGCAGATTCTGAGCAAGGTTCTATGGTTGCTACCCCACGTCTTCAGGATTCAGGCACTCAGCACAGCGCGAGGTAACTCAACAAGGCAGCTCGCACACCCAAGGACTTAACGCGCGTCTCCTTCATGAGTATTTCCCCTAAATCCTAAACCCCAAACCCTAAACCCGAAATCCTAAACCCTAAGCCCTAAACATTGAACTCCAAAACGCAACAGGTGGGACCTCGAAGAAAGCATATACATACATGCATACATGCATACATACAGACACACACACACATACATGGAAAAACATGGAGAAGAAATTTTAGGGTCTAGGATTTAGGGTTTAGGGATGAAGGTATAGGGTTTAGGCTTCAAGGGGGCACCTCAGCACTCAGCCACTTCATTTGCAAGCGCAGGCTATGGGAGCGCCTAAGCTGCAGATGCCAGGCGCTTCTTGTTCGCACCAAGGGTTTTAGGGTTATTAGGGTTTTCCTACGATTTCCTTAAGAATGAACAATAATAATCCCTATGTTACCCTCAAGAAGGAAGAATACTTAAACAAAAAAACTTTTTCGGGGTTCTTGTGCAATTAGTAGTTTTAGGGTTTTGGGGGGATTTAGAGTACCGGATCCACCCCAAGGCTCATTGGGTACTTGCATTTAATTTGCCCTATTCGTCTCTGCCCATGAACCTCCCAAAAGGATTGAGGGTTTGCGGAACATGGTCGGCTTCAGCGAGGCTGCTATAAGGCTGCTGTGCTAGAAACCGGGCTCACAATATTTGTGGGCTTGTAGGGTTTCCGGAGGCTGGTAGCCGGTGGCCCCAGCCAAACTTCCTATAGCTAGAAACCGCAAACCCTAAACCCTAAACCCCGAACCCCAAACCCTGAACCTTAACCTTAGGTTACTTCGGGACCTAGAACCGAACAAGCCCCTAAGCAGCCCCCTAATAGTTTTTGTTAGAACATGAGCCCGGGGAATGCTTGGTCTAGGGTTCAGGGTCCTCCCCACAGAAAATTCCTTTTGAGCCATGGCCCCTAAACCCGTCACAACCAAGCCCAAGCCCCAAACTTTAGGTTTTAGAGTAGGGTATATGAGGGTTTAGAAGGGTATATAAGGGTATATAAGGGTATATAAGGGTATATAAGGGTATATAAGGGTATATAAGGGTATATAAGGGTATATAAGGGTATATAAGGGTATATGAGGGTATATAAGGGTATATAAGGGTATATAAGGGTATATAAGGGTATATAAGGGATCAGGGTGCATCCCGAAGCACAGAAAGGTTGATGCTCTGCCTCTCACCCCAGCAGCTGTGCCGCGCGCTCTTCGGCTTCCACCGCGCGCGCTGCCACGACGAGGACTTGGCTTTAGGCCCAGAGGGGGGGTCCCTGTACCTATATGGGGGTTTCCGAAAATAGTGGTACCCTTTTTGGGGGCGCCGTCAAAAAAAGGATTATACAGCATTTTGGAAAATATAAGGGGTATCCCTGTTTGCGGAAATCTCCATATCGCAGAGACATACGTGTAGTAATTACTTTTGGGTCCCAAGCGGGCCCCTACAGAAGTGTCGAGACCTTTTGGGACGGTCTAGTGTCTAGGGGACCTGATGAGCGTGGGGCTTATAATTATGTGCGACAACGAACCAAAAGCCCTGGACTCTACACCCCATCCCTAAACCTGAAGCCCGCCTAAGAGGGTAGCCCTACGCTCCACCTAAACCCTAAACCCTAAACCCTAAACCCTAAACCCTAAACCCTAAACCCACGCCGCTAGGAGTTGCTACACTCCGCCTGCGAGGCACCGCACCTTAGGGGTCTGTTGGACTAAAGGGGTTCAGTCAAGGGACTAAAGGAGGGACCCTTATAAGGGTTTATTATTTTGGTTTAGGGTTTAGGGTTTAGGGTTTAGGGTTTAGGGTTTAGGGTTCTGGGACCAAAGGAGGGACCCTTTATGAGGGACCTTAGGGGTTCTGTGGGGCTTCTTTAGGGGCTACTTTGGTATATAGGGACCATATAAGGAAAATAGAGGCCTAAACCCAGAGGTAACTTAGGAAGAAAAAGGGGTGTCCTTTTTGGTTTAAGGGACTCATAAGGGAACCTTTAGGCGGGACTTTGGTATATAGGGACTATATAAGGAAGGTATAAGGGTTGTATAGGGGAATAAGATTAAGGGTCCCTTATCGGGGTCCCTCCTTATACCCCTCAAAAGGGATTTGGGGCGTTTAGCGCCTTAAGGGCTTTAGGGGCTTTAGGGGCTTTAGGGGCTTTTGGGGCTTTTGGGGCTTCAGGGGCTTTAGGGGCTTTATGGGGCATAGGGCTCAGGCGTTCCTGTGTTCAGGGGCTTTTGGGGAGTGCAGGGCCTTGCGCTTCAGGTTTTACGGGGGAGAGGTTAGGCTTTAGGGTTTAGGGATTAGGGTTTAGTGTTTAGGGTTCACCCATACCTGCCCCCTTTTAGCCCCCAGCATCTAAGACTCTCAGATCTGCAAAGGTTTCCAAGATCCTTAAACCCAACACCCTGAACCCTGTACGGTTTAGGGTTTAGGGTTTGGGGCTTAGGGGTCCCAACATAAGGGCCCAATATGTCTATGCAAAACTTCTACAAGCGCAAGCGAACACGTGCACCCTGCATATTATAAACGTACTGGGTTACTCTATATAAATCCCCAAATCCTCAATCCTTAGAATGAGATGGTTGCGGGGCTACCTCGAACTTGTGTCCGAGATGGCCTGGGAAGTACGGTCGAGGGGCTCTGAAAAAGGGTACTGGGAAGTACGGTCGATGGGGCTTTGAAAAAAAGGATACTTGAACCCTCAACCCTGAGCCCTCCTAAGTAACACTCAGCCTTGGAAAGGCACTCCTCTCTGAAGAGGGAGCCGTCTATGACGAGCCGCAGAACCCGGAAGATTTGGTGCCTTCGCCAGCACTGCCCTGAAGACTTCCTTCTGCTTTAGGGCCTGGGGCTTAGCGGGGTTTAGGGCTCTGGGCTTTCCAAAACCCTGAACCCTGAACCCCAAGCACGAATCTCCCAAACCCCACACCCCCAAAAGCCCCCAGACCCAGGAAGCCTTGTTTTGTTTTTTGGTTTTGCCGGGGGGGGGGGGGGGGGGGGGGGGAGGTTTAGGGCTTAGGGTTTGGGGTTGGGGGGTTTAGGGTTTGGGGGGTTTAGGGTTTAAGTGGGGAGGGTCTAGGGCTTGGCACTTGAGGTTCAGCGAGATTTCGCGTTCCAGGAAGTGTGCGCCCACTGCCCTCCAAGGGCTTTCGGGTTGAGGATCAAAAGGCTTCAAATGGTTGTTCCTGAATCGAATCCAAACACCCTATCCCAAAATAATGGGCCTTGGGTTTAGGGCCTAGCGTAGTATGGAGTTATGTATGCCCAAAGGGCAGGAGTTTTCGGTTTCAGGGTTCAGCGTGTCAGGAAGTGAGCCGGCACATCTGTAAGGACGTGCACGTTGGAACCTTTGCCCCGTGAAGCCCCCCGCAAACCGCCCAAAGACCCTTAACTTTGGCGGCCTCAAGACCTACACCGTGAGCCGTGAGACCTCATGAACACCTTGAAAACCTGATCCCTGTAAGCCCTGACTAAGACAGTAGGCCCCCATTTTCATTTTTAGGGTTTCGGTTCCCTTATAAGCCACTTTAAACACCGAAAGGGCGCCCTTTTCCTAGGTTACTCGGGTCTAGTCAGTCTAGTAATCCTCAAACCCTAAACCTCCGAAACCCGAAGCCCTTCAGCCCTAAACCCCCAAACCCTGATGATGCCGACTGCGCAAAGGAAGACGAGTTCGGTGTGCAGAAGCTGGGCACACATGCCGTGCTGTCGGCCAACGATGTCGCGATGCTTCTGAAGGCTGCGGCTTTAAGGCTTAGAGCAGGGTTTGGCCTTAAGGAGGTTTTGAGTTCAGGTTGGGGCAACTACCCGAAACCCTAAACTCATTTTTCCTAACTCATTTGTTTTGGTTTAGGGTTTAGGGGCCTCATTTGATGAAAGGGCTCCCTGATTCGAGGTCTCCTTCCTGCGGAAGCCCCGAGGCCTCAACCTCGAACCTTCCCCAAAACTCAAAGCACCAGGGCCGCCAGGGCCCATGGTAGGCCTTTATTCCCTCTTCAGGGTCTAGGCTCCCTCATAAAGCGAAAACAAAGGGGCAACAGGAAAACAGCTCAGATTCTTTGGAGAGTGTTGAGTTGAGGGTTTCGGGCTTGCGGGCTGCCAGCGCATGCGTAAAACAATCGCGAGCACCGTTTGGACGGACGTATCAAGGCGTTCAATGAACAGCTGTGTACCCTCCCTATTGCCCCAATCTAAACCCTAAGCACCCTAAACCCCATAAACCCTAGAAAACCTACAAACCTGTAAACCCTATAAACCCTACAAACCCCATAAACTTTAAGAACCCTAAGAACCCTAAGAACCCTAAGGAACCCTAAGGAACCCTAAAGAACCCTAAACCCCACATGAACCTCCTAAACCCTGTGAGCCCAGAAGCAGGCCCTGAGCCGCTTCCACTACACGAAGCACCCGGAAGTTCTGGACTCTTGTTCCTGAAAGGGGGGTTAGGGTTTAGGGTGTCCGGTTTAGGTGTTCAGGGTGGAGGGGCCTAGGGGTGTATAGGGTTGAGGGTTTTAGGGTTTAGGGCTCAGGGGTTGGGGCTTCAGGGTTTGTAGGGTTTTGGGGTTTGGGCTTTTAGGGGGTAAGGGTTCAGGCGCTGGAGGAAAGTTATAGGACTTTGGGTTTGGAGGGGTTCAGAGAATTAGGGTTTAGGGACTAGAGCTGAGAGTAGCTTTCTTAGGGGTATGGCTTCAGGGGTGTAGGGGTTAGTGGCGTCTTGAGGGTTTTGAGGGGCCATTGTGTTTAATTAGGGCTTAGGGGTTTGAGGGGATGGGCTGGTTTAGGTCTTTTTGGTGATAGTGGCTTGAGGTTCAGGGTACGTGTATAAGGGTTCCGTCCTAAACCCTCTACCCCGGGCGGTGCTCTGGTGGTTCGCCAGTCGTTACCCGTTCCAAGCTTCGACAGCTGTGAACTTGTTCCTACGAACTACACCTCCGTCCTGTCCATGTACACAGGCCTTGCGTACGACGAAGTTGGCGATCTCGTCTTGTACGGTGTACCGTGCCAGGAACGCTTCTTGCAGGGGATGATCGGACCTGACCACTTTTTTCGGGAAACTATGACCGCTCCGCGATGCCCTTTGCCCAGTTCGGACGGAAGTCTGCAGGTTGCCCGCGGCTCCCGTCTTCTTCTTATCGGGTACGATAGCTATACATGCAAGTGTCGAAATCTCTTACAGTATCCCCTTTGTGGTTCTTAGATAAGTATGGGAACAAGAACCCCCCGAGCCCCTATTCTAATCACTACGGCCCGTAAAGTACATTCGTGCCTCGACTCGGGACTCCACCGATGCAAAAGGCATAATCCTTGGACCCCTCGGCATGGAACGGGTTTAGGGTTTCGGGTTCAGGGTTATCCTCTGGCTTTCAGCTTCGAAGCTGAGTAGAGAACCTTTTCAACCTTTTCGGGGTATATACACAGTCCGACCAGAACTGAAAGGTTATGACCTTTTGGGGGGTCAGGGTACAGAAGAAATTAAAGAATGGAAGAAAAGGCACTATCAAGAAATGAAAGAAGACATTTTAGCACAGCAGAAAGAAGATTATGAAAATCATTAAGAAGAAGAAATTGAATATATCGTGAGAGCCACAAAGAAAAGATACAAGCACAAGCGAATCAAGTTATAAACTCCGTATGCGGTAGTAGACACACACAACAAAAACAGAAACACACACACACCTTAACTCACAAATAAACATCAGGCATACCTAAACCAACAAGAAGAAAGTTATACTATCATTCATTTATCAAAAATACTAATAATAATCATTGTTATAATTATGATTATAATAATTAGCATTATTATGATTAGTATGCAATTAGAATTAACTAATGCAAATACACCAACACCCGATAATGTCGTAATGGTGGAACTGATCTATCACAAGTATATGCCACAAAGGATGAAATGGGAAACAACTAGGTCAGGGTCTTGAGCTGCTGTGTGTGGGTTTCGGGGCTTAGAGGGTGTTGGAGGGATGGGGTGCTGGTTTAGGTCTTATTAGTGATACGGGAATCAGGGGAATGCGTGTAGGGCTGGTGTTCCCCAAGCCCTAAACCCGAAATCCTCAGAATACACACAAACCCCCGAACCACAAAACCTCAAAACCCTAACACCCCAAACAGTCAAACCCTGCCCTTAGCCCCAAAACCCTGCAACGCTCAAAACCCTCAAGCCCTAAACCCAAAAACCCTCAAACCCTCAAACCCTCAAACCCTCAAACCCTCAAACCCTTGACCCTCAAAGCCCTAAAACCCTAACATCGTCAAACCTAAAACGCTCAATACTCTCAAGCCCTAAAACCTAAACCCTAAAACCTCAATGCCCTGACACCCTCAAACCCTAAAACGCTCAAACCGTAGACCCCAAAACCCTCAAAACCCTCAAGCCCTCAAACCTCAAAACCCTAAAAAGCCCTTAAAGACCCTAAAAAACCCTAAAACCTAAAAACCAGATCATAAAAACCCTAAAGACAAGATCAAACAAAAACCCTTAACAAAAACCCTAACCAACCCTAAAAATGCCCTTACAAAGCCCTAAAACCCCAAAACTCCAAAACCCTTCGAACCCTTGGAGTGGCAGCCCAGGACTTCCTCTTGCAGCGTGCAGCTGCGACCCTGGAGGAGTTTTGGGGTTTGAGGGTCTAGGGCTCAGGGTTCAGGGTTTCAGGGTTTAGGGTTTAGGGTGTAGGGATGTGCGGTGAGATGGGTCTCCCGAAGACCCTGAACCCCTGAAGTCTTAAGTTAGGGTTCAGGGACGTTTAGGGAGTTCATTGTTTCAGGAGTTTAGCTTCGGAGTCTTAAGTCAGGGTTTAGGGAGTTGACTGTTTTAAGGTCTTAGCTTGTTTGGGTTGAGGGTTTTAGTTTGTTTTTGGGTTAGGGTTTAGGGTTTTCGGGTTTTGGGTTGCATATATTGATATACGCACACATTTTTTTGTGGAGGAGGGTTTCTATACTAAGGGTGATATCATTTTGGCTTGATTGGGGGGGGCGGGGTACCCTATTTTGGGAATACCCCTACGAGGGTCTGACACCTTGGGATACACTCTGGACTTTGACTTGCAACCCTCCAAAAACGCTCACCTAACCCGTAAGCCCTAAACCCTAAACCCTAAACCCTACAGAAGAGGACGCTGTGGGAAGATGTTTCTTATGTTCGGGCGAGGACAATGTATTTGCTCACAGTATTCTCGTGTTCTCCTTCTCACGATTTGTTCTTGTTGTAACTTGTCCCCTCCTCTCAAACCCCAAACCCCAAACCCCGAACCCCAAACCCTAAACCCCAAACCCTAAACCCTAAACCCTAAACCCTAAACCCTAAACCCTCCAGGAGGCCACAACCTCGGACGTGGCCCAGCTCCTCGGTGCAGCCGCGTGCCGTGGACCCAGGACGAGAGGACCCAACCTGTAGAGTTCCACGGGGTCTTAGTATGGGTTTTCGGTTTAGGGTTTAGGGTTTAGGGTTTAGGGTTTAGGGTAAGGGTTTGGGGCTTAGGGTTTAGGGTTTAAGGTCGAGGGATCTAGGGTTTAGGGCCAAGGGTTGCTTTTTTTGCCGTGCCACACTGTGTTGCGTTTTTGGGACATCTTCCCTGTCATAACTCTTTAGAGCAATCAATGAGTACACCAGATACAACATCATATAGGATCGCTTTCATGATTGAGGGCATTTTGTATGCAGTGGCTAGTTTGATTTGGGTTGGTCAGTGGGGTTTGCTCGAAGAGATGAGAGACGCCGCGTCTCCGCCATGTCCTCTTTTGCATTTGCCGTTCTGCAACCCTTGAATTATCCTTACGAAAAGCACGAAAAGCTGCATACATACCCTGTATTTTATATACCCTAAACCGTACATGCGCCGTACAGGATGCCATGATTGGCTGAGATGCGGGAAATGGGCTCTAGGGAATGCCAATGGCAAAAGGAGCATGTGGAGGGGGAGCATACAGGGGCTGCGAGAGGCATCAGTGAATATTGTACTTGTCCTTAGCAAAAGGTTTAAGAATCAATTACAAAACGAGCCTCCGTATATATCCTTATTAGTTAAGGGTTTATTGTGTGTACAATCATATATATATATATACATATATGTCTCTCTCTTTCTCGATATATATATATATATATATATACATGTGCGACCTAGTTCCCCAAATTGCGGCCGAGAAAGAGCAGGCTAACCAACAGCAAGTCCCGAACTGTTCAAGGTCAATGGCTGCCATTGTCTCCAGCCTTGTTCTAAGGGTTACCAGGACCACGAGCATCCTAAACACTACCTGTGACCCTAGGTTACAACCCCATCAAGACAAGGTATAACCCCCAAAACAGTCGGTAAAATGAGCCCCCGGTAAGCCCCAAACCCTAAACCCTTTTACTTCCCTTTTGATAAAGGTCAGCTTCCTTTGCAGTCCCGATAATGAACGCCACGCCTCACCGAGTCGCCTGGGCCTCGGTGAGCAGCTTGCCAGCGAGGCTCTGCTGGAGCAGCCACGCGCCGCAGCGTTGGCACACCTTGTAAACCCGTGAGGTTCTGGAGGTTTAGCGTTTAGGGTTTGGGGTTTGGGGTTTGGGTTTTGGGGTTTGGGGTTTGGGGTTTGGGGTTGAACCCTTTAAAGCATATATTAACCCTGAACGACCCTAGCCTCCATGATCCTAAAGTCCCTAAAGCCTTGCCAAAGCCCAGGGCTTTAGGGTTTCGGGTCTAGTAGAACGGCAGAATGTCCCCGAAACAAATCCTAAACCCTAAACCCTACGAAGGCTCTTCGGCCGCGCCCGCCTCGGCCTCTTCGACAAGTTCACTCCGGCGGCTGACGCCACGAACCTGTGTGCGGCCGCCGCGCTGCTGCCGAAGACGGAACAAGGTCCCGGGACTTTTAAGGTTTAAAGGGTTTAAAGGGTTTAGGGTTTAGGGTTTATTGTTTAGGGTTTAGGGTTTAGGGTTAAAGGCGTTTTAAGGTTTAGGGTTTATTGTATGGGCTCTTGCCCTTTGGGGTCGAGGTTGAGAGTCAAAGGGGTAGTTTGCGGGTAAGGGGAAGGCTGGGGTGGGAATGGCTCGACAACAGAAGCCACACAAAACACTCCTTGGGTCCCGGAATGAAGATGAAGCGGGTACCATGCGCAACGTGGGGTTCAAGTCCCCGCCTTCAGGTTGACAGTGGTGTGTTGACGCGAAATCTTCTGGGCAGAATTGCGGGCTGACAATGGCTGACACCAACCAGCCTGTGTCCTTTTGATGCTGCCTTCCGTAGTATGTTCAGCCAAGTTGCATCATGAGCTTCAGCCGATCAAAGCCTTCACGATAGCTTTGGACCTGAGCAGCACAGGATGTCATCGGCTTCCTGCTCTCTAAGGAGTGGATACAGACTTGACCAGGCAGCATCAAGCAAGACCTAAACGTCTTGCCAAGGCCCATGGCACCCTTTTCTGTGGAAACAAAAGCTCGGGAGCTGAAGTTGCCCATGAGGATGTATGCTGCTGGCCTTGGGGCACTGGTGACACTGCTGCTTTGGTGGCCCACTGTCGGTGAGGTCCCCTCCTTCCTGTTTTTGTTGTCCTTGCGCAAGCCCCAGAGACTCCAAAACCCCCTTAAGTAAGGAATATCCCTTAAATTATACTAGGAACCCTGATATGATTTAAGGTATATTCCTTAACCCTACACCCTAAACCCCAAACCCCAAACCCCAAACCCTAAACCCTAAACCCTAAGGTGCGCAGCTTCTGGCGGAGATAGCCGGGCACCTGCGGAAGGCGGAGAAGGCAGCGGGGCTGGCGCCAAGATGCTTGGAGCCTGGTTTAGGGTGTAGCGTTTAGGGTTTAGGGTTTAGGCTTCAGGGTTTAGGGCTGAATTAAGGCGTTGTGAATTTCGGGTTCCTGTCTGTCTGTAGGGGCTGTATGGCAGCTTGATTCTTAGCAAGCACTGAAACCCTAAACCCCTAACGCAGCACTGGCTGAGGAGACTTGGTCCGACGGCTGCAGAGCCTGACAGCTTTCGATAGGACTGGGCAGTTTTGCCCCTGTGAAAGCTCATAAATCAGGCTGCAGTTTAGGGTTTAGGGTTTAGGGTTCAGGGTTAGGGATTAGGGTTAGGGATTAGGAGTTTTGCAAGGGCTTGGCTTCTCAATCCATCCTTCGGACCTCGAGAATGTTACTTAGGTGTGGTACCCTAAGCTTGCTATGCCGGCTTTGCCCAAACCCTCTACGCCACACCCCAAACCGGTGTAGACCCATTTTGCACTACTCTTCGGCGCCCCTTGTCTTCAAGAACATGCTGCGGTAGAGTAACCCGAAACCCTAAACCCTAAACCCTAAACCCTACTAAACCCCTAAACCCCTAAACCCGATCGGATCGCCAGGCCTTGAAGCTGTCAAGGCACGTATGGCTCGTTCAGTACCCTGGTGGCCCTGCTTAAGATCTAAACCCGAGCCCCTAAACAGCTTAATCTAACAAACGCAGGAAAGAAATAAATGATAAGATTGTTTAGCGATATAGTACATCATACTATAGTATATAGTATAGTATAGTAATGCATGATAGTCAGACAATAGTACTGTAGTGTTGTTTTTTTTCTAGATGCTAGGTTCCCTTATAAGCCCTTTCTAAAGCCCTAAGCCCTATAAACTCTAAAGCCTTAGCGCAGCTGAGATGACAGGAAAGCCGGAGACTCCAACGATGAGTTCATGACGGTGCAGCAGAGGCACGGGGATAGGGCTTAGTAATAATTTCTGTAATAGTATCCCCTCTTAGTCCCTATCCCCCCACACCCTATTTTGGAGGGTTAGGGAGATTGGTACGCGATTTAGGAGGTTTGAGGGGAGGGGCTTATGGCGGCAAGTAGGGCTTAGGGAGTGTAGCGTTTCGGAAGCTTCTTCATTTTCGTGATGCTTTCTGTGTTCAGCAAAATGTGCCGAGGAACCTTTTTCCAGCCAATCTTGAAAACAACAAAAAGGTTACTCGTGATTGGGTCGTTTAACCCTTTTTGTAATGTGCAGCTACTGAGTATACCTGAGTTTTTGCTCTTCAGGCATTTTGAGGTCCATGGTTGCTCCGTAGGCGATGAGCTTCTGAACCTCAATCCTAGCAAATGGGGAGTTTACGATAATAAGGGACCCCCGCGAATATTGACACCCCAAAGTAGTAGGATCTTCTTATAATGAGCGCCTCAAGAAGGCATCCCCCTAATATCGTAACCCCAAACCCTAATTACACCCCGCACCCTACACCCTACACCCTAAACCCTAAACCCTAAACCAGGCCCCCCAAATCAGCCCGAAGTGCTCAGCCGCCCGGGCGACAGGCTTGGCCGCGAAGGTCGCGAGGAGGTCTGCATTGCCGCGGCTGAGGCGCCCGGATCCAAATGCAGTTTGGCTGTCCTGGCCATCCCGTTACGATCGCACCCCGACACCCACCCTAAACCCTATAAACCCTATAAACCCTATAAACCCTGCAAACCCTATAAACCCTATCCCTATAAACCAAATAAACCCTATAAACCCTTATAACCCTGTAAACCCTTTAAACCCTATAAACCCTGCAAACCCTAAGCAGAATTCAAGCTGCCCCGACACCCCCCAACATCTTCCCTGAATGCAACCCACCAGAGTCACTAGAGATCCCACTACCCCCCCTCCCCGCCACCACCCACAAGAAGCACACGATGCCAAGTGCCCTAAACCCTAAACCCTAAACCCTAACCCCTAACCCCTAAACCCTAAACCCTAAACCCTAAACCCAAACCCTAAACCCTAAACCCTAATCGGTCTTCCGGGTTTCAAGAGCCCGAAGCCAATGACGATTCCAGAATCGGCCTCGAGCTGTAAGGGGATGAGGGGCTTCATGCGTTCCGGTTTGGGGTTTAGGGTTTGAGGTTTAGTTTAGGGGTTTAGGCGTTTAGGCTTCAGGGCTGGGCGTTGTTGAGTACCGCAGTATGGCGACAGCGCTACTAGGTCAGTCCTTAGGTCCAGGTCCTACAACCCCTTTGGGGCTAGGATTTGGGTTGGCTTTGTCGGGCGTGAGGTCTAAACTCAACCAAAAACTCATCTGCCTTTAGAACCTTTAGCCTAAGAGCTGGAATCCGCAACAAAACCACCGTCAAGGGCCCATGGTAGCTCCTTTATGCCCAAATCCCAAACCCCTTAAAATCCCCAGCCCTCAGCCCCGAAACCCTGAAGCCAACAAACACAGGCCCTAGCCCACCGCTGCGCTGAGCTGGACACAGAGACTTCCCTGGCAGCGCTGGAGGCTCCTCCGGACAGTCGGGCCAGGGTTCGCGAACGGCTTGGAACACTGAAGCCCTTAGGGTTTGGGGTTTCGGGTTTGGGGTTTAGGGTTTTAGGGTTTGGGGGTTTAGGGTTTAGGGTGAAGGGTAGAGGGTTTGGGTAGGGAATGGCTTTTTGTTTGGATTGGGGGCTTTCAGGGGTTTAGGGCCGCAAGGTTGATGCGCTTCTGTTACAAGAGCTCTTGGGCGGCAAAGTAGTTCCTCTTTCCGATGCAGCTTAAGAGAAAGTGTCTAGACTGTCAAGGAAGCCATTTATACAGATGACGTTAGAGATGACATTGATCTCAGACAACTCTCAGTTGTTCCAGGAAGGGTTTTGTGTGTTCGGGCACCGGATTTGTGGTTCAGGGTCTTAGGATAAAGAATGTCTTCACTAGCCTTCCGAAGTCTTGAGGACCCCTGCCACAGGAGCCAAGAATGTTCAACATTGTCCCGTGCAAGCCCTTATATGCACTAGACTGCCCAAAATACCCGTTTTAATCAAATAGGTCTCTCGTCTAGAGCAGTAGCGAAGGGTTTAACCCAAAACCCTCAACCCTCAACCCTCAACCCTCAACCCTAAACCCTACAGGAACCCAACCTGGGAACTGCGGAACTGCCCCTGGGCAAGGCCATCGGCCAGCTGCTGCCGGAGAGCCCCGCGCGTTTCTCAATATCTCGGTACCGCGGCCGAAGACCCTGACCGGGGTTTGGGGTTTAGGGTTTAGGGTTTAGGGTTCAGGGTTTAGGGTTCAGGGTTCAGGGTTTTGGGTTTTGGGTTTAGGACCCTAAGCCTCGGAAGCCCAAGACCCCAAAACCTGAAGACCCTCCTAATCTAAGTCCTACACCCCGAACCCCCCTTGAGAGGAAGTGGTGGCTGTCAGAAGGTTTAGGGTTTATAGTTCAGAGTTTAGGGTCTATAGGGTTAAAACCCAACAGGTTGGACCCTACCTATGACCCTAGTTACGATTGCCCGTCAGAGTTCCTGACAAACCCAAACCCCCCTGACAAGTATCCATACAGCCTCAAGTGCACCCTAACAAAAAGGGTTTAGGGCTGGGGGTTTAGGGTTTAGGGTCCTAAAACTCCAACAGGTTGGACCCTCTCTGCGCGCTGCTGCTGCAGCGCTTGAGGGGGCCGGTGGGCGGCGATGCCGCGCGCTGTGCGGAGGCACTCGTTTCAGGGTTGAGGGTTTGGAGTTTAGAGTTTAGGGTTTAGGGTTTAATTAGGGTTTAGGGTTTCATAACGGTTTAGGGTGTAGGATGTAGGGTTTAGTTGATTGTTTGCAAGTATGCAGCGGTAGCAGTACGGTGCATACCTCAAGTGAGGGCAGAATCTACAATTTGCTGAAGACCCTGCCCCTGAAAAAAAGAAACCAACGAGATGAATAATATTAGTCCCCATATTGCCCTTGTTCGGAAGTTGTTGTTGACTTTTGAGTGGTTCTTAATCAAAGTTCTGGTAAACCCTCCACCCTGGCACCTGAAAAGCAGGCTTAGACCTTGGGATATTCTCCCTTATACTAACAGTCCTTAGTAGGGTTTAAGGTTTAGGGTTTAGGGTTTAGGGTTTGGGGAGGTAGCTATATCCCTAAACCCTAAGCCCCAATGTGATCCCAAAGTGTAACCTGTTTAAGCAGCTCTTAGTATAGGTTTGAACGCAGACCCCCAAAACAGGCTTCCGTCTGCCAGGTCGGGCTCCTTGAGTTGAGATGTTCCCCCTTATTCTAACAGCTCCTTAGTAGTCCTTAGTAGCTGACTGAGTACACTTTGCACTTTTTGGGGTACTATTAATCCCCTACAGAACTGAAAGTGTACGTCTTTTTGGGGCTTATAAACTGAGCAACCAAGTAGTGATTATAGCTACTCTTAAACCTTAAACCCTAAAAGCCTAAAGCCCCGAACCTTAAAGCTTCAACCCTAAACCGCAGCTAACAGACACTCAAGGATTGGGATGTTCCCCTTATTCTAACAGTCCTGAATACGGATTCTAGGAGGGGATTTCTGTAATCCCTACAAAGGACTGCCTGTATAAGGGGAACATCCCAACCTTAGAACCCGAAACCCGAAACCCGCAAACCTAAACCCTAAACCCTATAAACCCCAAACCCTAAACCCGAAACCCTAAACCCTCAACCCTAAACCCTTAGCCCTAAACCCAAACCCTAAACCCTAAGCCCTAAACCCTAAACCCTACAATCCGCTCTAAACCCCTAAACCCAAAACCCTAAGCCCTAAACAATAAAAACCCCGAAGCCCTAATCCCGAAACCCTAAACCCTAAACCCTAAACCCTGTAAACCCTAACCCCTAAGCCCTAAACCCTAAACCCCAAAATCCGCTCTAAAACCCTAAACCCTAAACCCTAAGCCCTGAACAAAAAAAAACCCGAAACCCTAAACCCTAAACCCTAAACCCTAAACCCTAAACCCTGTAAACCCTAACCCCTAAGCCCTAAACCCTAAACCCAAAAATCCGCTCTAAAACCCTAAACCCTAAACCCGAAGCCCTAAACAATAAAAAACCCGAAACCCTAAGCCTAAACCCGAAACCCTAAACCCTAAACCCTGTACCCTGTAAACCCGAAACCCTAAACCCTATAAACCCTAAACCCTAAACCCTAAACCGCAGGCTGCCTCCAATCTGCTGAAGATCGGCGGAGTCGAGGAGGCCTCCCCTGCTCCTCACCTTGGGACCCGGAGTGGGCCCTTATTTCCTTTATTGAAGGGCTTGGTTTTTAGGGTTTAGGGTTTAGGGTTTAGGGTTCCCGTATAATCACCTGAAAACCAAAGAAGGGTGCCCTTTGTTATTCCTCGGCTGGGTCTTGTCACACACTTCAGGTCTCCGGACTCCCCCAAAACTGCCTCAACTCCCGCAGATTGGAGGCAGCCTGCGGTTCAGGGTTTAGGGTTTAGGGTTTAGGCGGTTGAGGGTTTAGGGTTTATAGGGCTTAGGGTTTAGGGTTTCGGGTTTTTAGGGTTTGGGGTTTACAGGGTTTAGGGTTTAGGGCTGAGGGTTCAGGGTTTAGGGTTGAGGGTCCTGACATCCTCAGCTCACTGAACATCAACCCTAAGGCTCCAATAACCCCCCAATTAAAGCCCCCCAAGCCGAAACGACCCTCGATCGCTTAGGCTTCGGCTGTTGGGCTTTCCTGGGCTCCATTTACATACTTTTTGTTTTTGGAGGGGGGGGGGGGTTCTGGGGGGGGGTTCTAGCCTGCTAACTTGCAGGCTTCAGGAATCCCCGGTTGCTTTTGGGTCACTGCAGCCCCTCTTTTGGGGTTGTAAGTATCTGCTACCATGGCTACATCTGCCGTGCTGGGAGTTTCCAGGGGTGTAGAGTTTGAGGTTTTTTTGCCGCAGCCTAAAAAGCACCACTCCCTCACCCCCAACTGCGAGCACAAGTTCGTAGGCACAACCCGAAAGCCGAAACCCGAAACCCTTGTCAGTGCAGGGATGCATCGGAAGGCTCATAGTTACTCTATCTGAACCGCCAACCTTGCAGCCCTGATTCACCCCTAAACGGGCTTCCTTGTCCCAAGAGCCTAAACGCCCTAAGCCCTAAACCGCAAAACCCTTGACCTGGAAGTTCCTTCCAAGAGCCTTATTCAAACCTCAAACCCCCACAAACACCCTCAAAACCCCCAAACCCCAGGCCCGAACCCGAAGCCCTCGCGCGAGGCTGGGGGCCTTCTGGCAGAGCTGCGCTGCGCGGCAGATGCCAGGGCACAGGGCAGTGAGAAAGAAAAAACAAGGTTTAAGGATTACTAGGGGTCCAAAAACCAGAGAGACACATGAGGATCCTACGTTCGGGGTATAAGGACCCCTATAAGGGGGATTCTGGAACACTATGTCGGCGGAATCCGTACGTTGATTTGTTTTTTTTTGTTGGGTCTAGGGGACGGGGGGGGAGGGGGGGGCCTTGCAACCCTGAACCCTAAACCTTGAGATCAAAAGGTTTCAGGGTTTAGCGCCCGGACTTTGCGTGAAGCCCTTGGGGCTTTAGTCCTGAGATGCTGGAACTTAACTTGGGAGAGCCTTTTTTGACATTCTTCACACACTTAGGGTTTAGGGTTGAGTTTAGTTTTGTTTGTTTTTATTTGGGGGGGGGGGAGGGGGTAGGGTTGTTTGCTTGGACCCATTCGAACATCCAGCTCTTCGAAGACGTCCCTCTTGCAGCGCAAGAGCGAGGCTAGGTAGGCCCTTGGGACATGTCACATCTTCCAAAAATTGGGTTCTTGAGAGGATCATACTCCTGAACCCTAAACCCTAATTAAACCCTAAACCCTAAACCCTAAACCCTAAACCCTAAACCCTAAACCCTAAACCCTTTTTTCGGAGGGTTTCCAGGGCCATCCCAGCAGGGGCTTCCCCCCCGCGCAGGCATCAGTGAAAATCCAGAAGGAGGAGGATATGGATCCAGACAAGAAGGCCTGGCCCAGGGTTTAGGGTTTAGGGTTTAGGGTTTAGGGTTTAGGGTTTAGGGTTTAGGGTTTAGGGTTTAGGGTTTAGGGTTTAGGGTTTAGGGTTTAGGGTTTGTCGTCTTCGGTAGCCCAGTGGTCCCCTTTAAAGTAAGCAACCCACCAAGGATACTCGTTATATGATATGCTTGAAATTCTGTCCTACATCACCCCCTGTAAGGGTCCCTCCTTTACTTAGTCCCTTGAGTTTAATCGGAACTGGGCTGGGGTGTTGAGGGGCTGAGAGGTTCTGCCTCCGAGGAATGGGGCCGCAGATTACAACCCCCCCCCCCCCCCCAGCAAGATTT